TGGAATTTCGCATCCACCTGGAAATCGTTCAAACAATTGAGTTTACATTCTTTCACACAATAAATCCCAATTTCGAATCACGAAAATTTCAATAGCCTCAGTGGGGTTCGTACCAACGCATGGACGCCACCTACGCTTTTGTACAGTGCACGCTCTATCAGCTGAGTCACAAGGCCACACCAATTGATTTCTGTACCCAGTTATCCTTGTGAAAATAGTATCAGTTCGTCTCGCTTCCACTGTCTGATATAATTCTACACCAATTGCCATCCGTCTTGAAGAACGATCCTCGTGTTGAAATTATTCCCCAGACTGTGCCATGGTATCGATTTATGCTTCTACCTTGCATAAATTCGAGAACTGAGGAAAATTCATCCTACACCCACTCTGACTACCAATTTCGNCCAATTTCGCTTGGTATTTGACCGAAACATCATCGATTTACCTCACTATCTGCGCACTTCCCTCTTCCTGTGAAAATCTGTATTTTTTATTCAAATCTATGTAAGTTTTCGTACTTAGTCCAGACTCTCCAAAGCGTAAATACGTCGAGGATGTCATTCACTAACTGTAATGTTCTGAGAACTTCATGTGCACCAACACGTTGAGTGACTCTCAATCTTTTGAAAAAGCCGTCTAGATGTACAGATATCATTTGTCCAAGAGAAAAGGCCCAGTAAATTATAACTATCGACCTGTATGGGTCCGATAATCCCCCAAAATGGGACAGGTTCTTTGCAAAATCAAGAGCCTATTTGGTAAGAATGCATACATTACATTACATTAAATCTGTTTTGACTAAATGAAAACGAATTTACTTCCTTTTTTTATTGTCCTGAAATCATTTTCGTTATCTCTATCAGAGAGAAAACGATTTGTACGTGCGTGTAGGTTGCCACGGTTGCCCCGTTCCACTCTGTTCCACGCGTTTCTTTCTGATCTCCTTCGTGGTTTCGTGGTTTGAAAGACTTCAATCAAGAATCTGGATCCTTCCAGTTCTGATGTTTATTTTCGTAATTCGATCTCGCACCCGGATTATCAAATCAGTAAAGGCTCAACACCTCAAAACATGTCAACGTTTTACGAAAAGATTTCAGTCCACCCCAGGTATAAGTAAATACGTATCAGCATTGAGCAATCATTCTCATTTTCAGCTCCCGTTGTTTCTACCCTCCTCTAGAAACAGATCCTCCCGTGCATCTTTGACTGCTTGTTAACACCTCTACGTTGTATCACAAGTTGATATTGTTCCATACCTTTTCAACCCATAGATCACCGGAACGAAATCAGGCATTGTGAATCACAAAACCATCCAAGTTGTTTGCCCTTCACACTAGCCTTCGTGAGACAGCTCAGGCGAATTGGTGTACCACCCTCAATTCTGTAAAACACTCTGTTTTGCTTACGTCGGTCATGTAGTTGCAACTACGGCTACGGATGCATATCCGGGTGGAATGAACCAAATATTGGACTTGCGAGAGAACTGCAAATTCACTGTATACACCAATCACACGATTCGTGTCAGAGTCTATTTATCGTTTAATGGTTTTGCAAATGAGGAACCATGGGGGCAACGCAGGTAGTTAGTGGCCCTCTACCATCAATCGTGTCGATCGGTCTTACTTCACACGGGAATGACATAATTAATTGTTCCCGCTTGTTGTTTACACCTGCAGTTGGATTTGTTTGACCTCCAATTTTCATTGTTATCCGGCCCCTATCTCCGTTGGGAAGTGCAAGCAGATGCGCTTCGGGTGTGCTAACCTTCGTGTGCAAAGGAACGTGTCCTGTCGATCGATTTACTAAGAATTCGATTGGTTTCGTTTCGATAACACCTGGGAGACGAATCAAGGCCGGGTAAGGAATACCAACAGGACCTACCACGTTGATGAGTGCATTTAGGCACACTCACTTACATGCGCAATGGAAGTGACCGGTTCCCACCAGTCCACCTTTTCTAACTTTGACTGGATTGGGCAAACATTGTACAGATTTGTGTGTTTTTGTCTTTTTAATGAGTCTGGATGCCTTCTGACCATTGTTGATCAGGTTTGAACTGGGACGATGACCCAGTGATCTACGAGATCCTTTGCAAACTAATGACTAGCATCGATGATAACAGAGTGACATGAAGTTTACTGAGCAGTGGTCATGGGCAGTCAGTCCTCTTTGATAGAGGATCTTACACATGGTGCCGAGTAGTTTCAAAAATAAAAAGAACAGTTAGCCAATAATTTGTGGGCATCGACTATTCTAGAAGGGAAATAACTTATGTCTAAAATTAAATCATCATTTTAATTCAAATGACCTGGTCTTCAGCACAGTTGGAAGCGATTAGTTAGTCCAGAATGGACTGAGTGATTTAAGAATTTTACGTTTTGAAACACCGAACCGTAAAGGTACCGTGATTGGTCAAATGCGTTTTCTGATAAAAGTGTTGGTCTCATTTTCACAATCAAATTGGCAAGCACCTCGGACCTCAGCTGTATTGACTAATGTGCTCTTTATTGTTGTCATATCCCATCTGTGAACACAACTGTGCCATTTAGGCTGTCAGGTACGAGAAGCATACAGCCAGTGAAGATGTGCCAGAAAGACAGAAATAAAGGAATCACAAACTCACTTTCNCGTCCATCGATTTGGAATGGAAAACCTGAGACTGATGTATGGGTTCGACGGTTCCTGATGAATTGATACCGCAGCGCAGGTGGGTGCGTGGGTGGGTGGGATGAAGGCGAAACGAAAACAGAGAAGAAGATAATGATTAGGCGTGAAAAACCCAACATATTTATGTTTGTGTATTGCAGTATAACAGGAAACTATGAAGAATATCATAATATCACAACAATTAATGTAACCGCAGACTATTCCCAATTTCTTTTAATTACCTTGTAACAGAGGAGTGTCGCTAACTGATCCTATGTGAAGTCCAAAACTTGGTTTCGGCTGATACACAGCTGTGTCTGTAGGTTGAATTAATCATCTAATCTCACAACAAAACGTGTCTTTAAGCTGACCATATTTTGGAATTGCATATTTGATTATTGAAAATTGGAACAGAGCTGTGAAGAAGGCTGAATGCTCTAGTTATCATTGCATATGAACTGGTCAATCATTATTTAATTGGTTACCTGGTTAGTTCAGATACGAAAGTCAATATCATCGGTAATTCGGTCGTAGTCTGTGAAATCTCAAGCCTATTCAAGAGTGTAAATATATGAATATCAATTGACAGCCGGCATAATATTACGCTATCAGTGCTTGTCAAATGAAACAATTGCAACTGGCATGCAAATTTCCGCTCAAACTTGATAAAGATCCTTACTTTCAATTCGTGCTGCACTTCGTGGATCCTTTGGAGTCGCGGGGCGGTCTGGGAATCACATGAAAGAGAGACAGAAAACAAAGAATTAATAGTGTTTTTATGGAATGATTTCAACCACAGTATTTCAAAAATAAGTAAACCTATGTGTGCACTGACTGATCGATCGATCGATCAATCGTTCAACCAGTTTAACAGCTAATCAATCTGTCAAGCAGGAATATTTATAACCTACTAATTCAAGTCGTAGTCAAAAGAAAGTAATTAAATACCAATCTAATAACTACATTAACTAATAGGTGCACTTCGGAGTTTTACCGAGGACAGAAGGAGGGATATTCCGTTTGTCGTACATATTCGCGGGTTTCAACACAATTGAACAGCTTACTATGGCCTCTGCAAATTTTTGCACAGGTATTAAATTACCTAAAATTTACTTTCAACCACCCCCCACCCGGCGAATCTGCATTTTAAGAAGGATTGTGCCTGATTTTTCGTAGACTAACACTGGTCAAAACTTGCTCAGGAAGTAGCCAGATAAAACAGAAAGGTTTAGAGTTAAATACTGTAAATGCTTTTCATCGCTAGACTTGGAAAAGAATTCACATTTGACAAAAAGATGCAATTCCGGTCTCCACCAGGAACATCTCACTACACACGATAAAATACTACTATTACTACTGCTACTACTACTACTACCACTACTACTAATACTACTAGTTACACCACCAAGTATTACGTTCACGGTGCGTGCCTCAAAATCGGGACCAAAATCACGGTGAACTCACGTTTGCGAATTGTGTGTCGTTTGATGTGATATTCCGTGGCCTGGTCATCCTCAATATTCTCATCTGTCTCCGTGACAAACACATTCTTCGATATGTCCGAGAACGACTGTGTTCGTGCGGTGACCCGTTGCAACAGTCCGGTTGTGGGATCAATACGGGTGGTCACACGCTCGACCGGAGGTCCGGTCGGAGTGAGATTTTCGGTCAGTGCGGAACCACTACGAATTGAATTGGCCATCCGTGTGGCCAAGATACGTTGCGAGGGGGGCGGGAGAGCGGCACTGCGTGATTCACCATTCCACACGTGTGATCGCATAGTACTACTCGAACTCATTGTGGTCCTATTGGCTGATTGACCCATGACCGGACTGGCTGGAGTGCTGTGAATGGATCGTTGGGCACGTGGGCTACGCAGGCTTGATCGATAACCGCCTCGTTCGAGCAGTGGGGATGCTCCGGATTCGGACATGGTGGCATGACGCCAATAGGCTGAACTGGCGGTTGCTGGTGCGGCCATTTCGTCGTACTTGGCACTGCTCACAGTGATTGTGTGATTCCCTTCCGTCGGATAATGATAATTCTCTCCAGGGGTGGTAGAACGAACTCGTGTACGAGTGTCTAATGAACCGAGAGATCGATGAGGTTTGGAATTGGATAAGGCTGAGAATCTGGATTCAGCACCACGTTCTGGGAAGAAAGAAAGAAAGAAAGCGAGAGGACATGGATTACAATCTTATAGTTCGTATTTTCTTTATTCGTTATTCTTTTCGGGTTCTAGGGCGTCCCATTCTGCGAGGTAACATTATCCAGGAGGCCAACAAATACAGTCATCTCACGGGCAATAGGACGCAAATAGTCAGGATTATTGAGATCATTCGTGACGTAATCAGAGATAATGCCTGTGTCTATAAACGTTAATCATTTTCTTTGCCAAATGTGGTATTCGATTGAAGGTGCTAATCCGAGTACAACAGGTTCTTGGTTGAATTTTTCTATCCATGAAATGGTCAAAAAATTGTCTAAAAGCGGGTAAAAAGTATTGAAAAAATCTTGCAATTCCATCAGGTTTGATAAAGTACGTCCATTGCATAAGTGATTACTTTTCTGTTATGGTTTCACGGAACCCTACCACAAGAGCTGCCTACTTTTCTCTATTTCCTATGTATCTTCCAGTTGCCCCTTGATTGATCGCCTCTCGTTTACTGAAAGCTGTTTGTACCGTTATATGTTCATTCAATAGAGTGAAAGTAAAAAAGACAATGACCTTGAAACACGGTATTCAAAATCGGTGCTCGTGGTTCGAGTGAGCTGAATTCCATTTTGCCTGTTCGCTCCTGAGCTTGGCAATTTGTTTTCAAACGTCTCCTCATCAGTTGGTGACGAAACGTTTGCAATCAAATTGCCAAGGTCAGGGGCGAATAGGCAAAGATGAACGTGGTTTGTATACTCTGGGACGGTAGGAGAGAGGTCTTAGGCCCCTAAAATCGGAAACGTCAAATTGAAACAATGCGTAACGAATTCAGTGAATCATTTTGAGTGCGATTCACTTTGATTTTTGGTAATGGTGTTTGCGATCTACGTAAATGATAGCCCATCTGAAAAACGGATGTACTGTGAAATCAGAAACCAATGCACTTGTCTCCTTTATTCGTCTCATGAAGACAGTCGCTACGGCACCGCTGCAACGACCACATGCAGTAAGCTCCTAGGACAGCTAGGCTATCAACGGTGACGGTGACGTGCTGGCTTACGCACGACTACCTTTTCATGCACATCCGACAAAATCGATTCATCAAAGTCACATGCGACCTTGAGATCAAGTATCAAGTTGCTCGGCTAGGGGAGACATCGGTAAGTCGTAACAAGTGACCAAACGATGGTCACCATACGCATGCTTTAAAACCATACATTTTGAAGGCTATGGATATGTATATACTTTTAATCTGCTCTGGCCAGTCATGGGTTTCATCCGTACTTACTGAGAATACATGTACCAAAATACCGCATTGCTTACTCTATTTCGATACAGAGAAATTTCGAGGAATTTGAAAGCACCCAATCCTTTTCTCCGACTGTGCAGGCGTTTTGCACAGTAGGTGGTTCGTTGCACAGGATATCGTGTATATTTGTCTAGACTGAGGCGCATAATCAGATGAAAACCTCTGGGAGTTTAACTTGATTGACACTCAAGTAAGTCGATTGCGCAGTTGTTGTTGTTGTTGTTGTTGTTGTTGTTTGTGAACTCTCTATTCAGCCTTGAAAACAAATTTCGTTACTGGGTTAGGTAACATTGAGAGCATAGCAAACCATCATCTCTCGTATACATCACCGGAGTTACAACTGTTTGCTGATTGACTGACTGACAGTGTACAAAAGCAAGCCCAGGGAACAAGGGGCAATTTAGTTTCGTGGAATGTTGCAAACGAATCGCTTGCCATACGTCAAACTTATCCGCACAACTTAATCTTTTTTCAAGCACCCAAATTCGTGCCTTTCAGCTTTTGAAAAAAAGATGCACAGAGAACTCGTGGCGAAAACACGATCTCAGTTGGGTCGTCGTATTTTGGCTCACCGAGTTCCTACTCCTCTCCCTCCCCCCTCTCTCGTGTGACAGACACTATGATAGCATGTTTAGTCAGACTGGTTCACTGTTCAAATTGTACTTCAGTTTTACTTTGTCCTCTCTTTGACTGATTATGAACTGCAAGCTATTCAGCTACCTGCACAATGTGATTTTCCAAATTATAAGCAAGCTCGCAAACTGTGTGTGACAAAGGTCAGTACCGTAGGGGGAATTCGTCGTGCATATCGTACATGAAGCGTGAACTGAAAAGCTAGGAAGCACTGGACAGCTGTTTCGACCGGATTGGGTCTCATCAGCAATTCGATTCCATCGACCCAACTGGGGATCGAACCCGAGACCTCACAAGCAGACCGCAAAACACGCTACCCACTCGACCCAACCAGATTGAAACAGCTGTACAGTACTTCTTAACATTTCAGATCACGCTTACTGTTGTGCAAAGGTCAATATCTGATTTCCTGTTTAGATTAACAGTTGGATTGAAGAGTGTGATATTTGCTTCGGCCTTAGTTCAAAAGAAAACAATTGTAATAATAATTCAGTTAATCGATCAGGAGTATTGTTGTTGGTGTCTTCAAGAACTGAACAATTTAATTATTTGGTTTCTTCCCATGAATATGAGTTCTCAAGGCATTCATAAGCGATCGTGTGTTGTGTGGCAATGTTTAATACGACCACGGTTATCCTGATTGTATCGACCATATTGATTAATTATCTATGTGCTCTCTTTATTGTTATAAGAATCCCAAATGAATGCGTCAGGACCGTCAAATGTCGATCGGAATTCAACATAAATACAAACAGTTAAACTTCAAAGGTAATGCTGTGTATACTGCTGGGATGTAAAGTCGAGAATCAATCAATCAAACTATAAAAAGCTAGACCAAGTAGATCATTTAATTTGCGGATTAAATTTTCCACGTGTACATATAGTGATGTTCAGTCACGTGGTCGAGTGTCGCTCGATTATTTCGCGTGCATCACAGAGTATTATTTGAGTTATTTCTAGTGCATTTTATGCTTTACTCTCACGTTGAACTACAAAGGAGCCAGCGTGAAAGAAAGCAAACTATCACACGAAAGGGGTTCTTGATTTGCACTAACCTGCACGGAATAACGTTTCATGGAACGATATGAGACCGAGGGTAAAATAAGTTAGTAATAGGTAGTTCACTACTTATATCGAGTCAGCATTTACAGGCTAATAACATTAGACCAACAAGATACATGATTCGGTTCGTGAGTTTACATTTGTTTCAATCGCCAGAGGCAACCAAGCGATGAGACAACCTACGGTTAAAATGCGGCTTGAAGCCGTTAGATATTTCGTTTATTTTTGCTGTTCACAGTCAAACACTGAATTGATTAGTAGCTGTACGTAGTTCATACAAAACATTGATCGATTGCAGGTAACTGATCTTTCGGGTAACCAATGCTACACAAAACACTGTTTTCAATAACCCAATGTTGTTGTAACCGAATTTTGAGGTCATATGGAGAAAAGTTTGCATATGTTTATAAGACAACTTCATTTGTATCGACAAAAATCGAATCGGATGTTTTTGATTTCCTCTTCCAGTTGGCGCTAGTTCGATCGCGCAACTGGTCTCGTTCATTACGAACCGCGATCATTAAATCACCTCTTTACATCACATATGACGTCACCCTGTTTACTTCGCTCCAAGGCCTGATTTACGACAGCTCATCGCTTTGTGTGCTCCGAGCATTTCTCAAATCAAGGTCCAGTGGTCGGTCGTAAGTAGATGGAGAGAGAGACAGACAGACAGACTTGAGATTGATGAGTATCACGTGAGAGGTCCAGTACTACTACTACAACTACTACTACAACTACTACTACTACTACTACTACTAAAGTTCATTTTGGCGAGAGAAGACTGTGGAGACCAGTAAACTGATAAAATCCATCTAGAAAGAGACTGAGTGTGCGTGAGGGAGAGAGAAAATGAGTGATAGATCAGATAAATCTGTGCCACTCGGCCTCAACCAGGTGCAAATACAATGAATCAATTGCAATTGAGACAAGACGGCCATACGCACGCACGCACACGCACACGGCGAAGAGATGCACCCAAGCTCCGACGTAACAAGTGTAAAGCACTTTAATGGTGGCGGTATTGGGCGTTATTGTTTTCGGGTCAGCTACGTATTGTGAATGCGCACTCAGGGAGCCAGTCAATCAGTGAATACAAAAAAGCGTAAGTGAGCGCGCTCGCTCGCTCGCTTGCAAACAGTGAATTATTGACTGTGAAACAGCTAATGGCTCATTTATTGCTGTCTGTTGGCACGCGCGCAATCGTCGTGGCGAGTTTCACTTCGGAGTGAATGCACGTCCTCGCGAGTGATAGGCTTTGCACTTTTGAAACATAGTAGTTGCATCGGATGAGAGGCGAGTGTGAGTTGGAGCTTCAGCGACACAGAGAGAATCTTGTTTTTAGACAAATCTTAGACTGTTTGAATCGTTCTAGCAGGATTAAAAGATTATCCCGTCCCCGTACTCATTGCTAGGGTATGCGATGTTGTCTACTGAAATATACACAAGTAGTATGTACGCATCCGTCCAGTGAGTTTCCTCTTACCCTCAATGACATATCGATCTGATCTTATAGACATGACGTGGTTCTCTTTCGTAAGCGAAAAATTACTCAAATTTTTATCCTTTATACTTTCATCATTTCGCATCGTTTTTACCATGGAGAACTGATAGAAATAAGTAAAATATTCCACGAAATTTGTCATCGTACCAGGATACTTGTATGGTTCTCAACAGGCACATAGTTCGGATGCAATGACACCATTCAAATGGTGTTGGACGATGAGTTTTAAGGTAGACAGGCTAATGCATTCACAGACCAGAACTATCGATAAGGTGCGTACGAGAAGTCATGTTAAGTTAGCCGGTCATTAGCACACGATTGACGTTTGTCGACGAACATTTCGTGAAACAATGACACATCAAGTGATGTGAACAGTCCCAATTCCAATATCGACGGATAGAACCTATAGAACATGGCTAAGCCGTGTCTGGAATGACGTTTGTGAGGCGTGGACTTTGATAAGAATTATTCTGCCGCTCACCATACAG